AGTGTGGGTTCATGAAAGGCAGATCCTGCTTGACCAATCTGATCTCCTTCTATGACCAGGTGACCTGCCTAATGGATGAGGGAAAGGCTGTGGATGTCATCTACCTGGACTTCAGTAAAGCCTTTGATACTTTCTCTCACAGCATTCTCCTAGAGAAGCTGGCAGCTCATGGCTTAGACAAGTGTACTCTTCACTGGGTAAAAAAAAAGGCTGAATGGCCAAGCCCAGAGACTTGTGGTGAATGGAGTTAAATCCAGCTGACAGCCAGTCACAAGCAGTGCTTCTAAGGGCTTAGTTTTGGGCCAGTCTGGTTTAACATCTTTATCGGTGATCTGCATGAAGGGATCGAGTGCTCCCTCAGTAAGTTTTACAGATGACACCAAGTTGGGCAGGAGCATGGATCTGCTCGAGGGTAGGAAGGCCCTGCAGAAGGATCTGGACAGACTGGATCAATGGGCCAACGTCAATCGTATGAATTTCAACAAGGCCAAGTGCTGGATCCTGCACTTCAGTCACAACAACCCCATGCAACGCTACAGGCTTGGGGAGGAGTGGCTGGAAAGCTGCCCAGCGGAAAAGGACCTGGGGGTGTTGGTCGACAGCCGGCTGAACATGAGCCAGCAGTGTGCCCAGGTGGCCAAGAAGGCCAACAGCGTCCTCGCTTGTATCAGGAATAGCGTGCCCAGCAGGAGCAGGGAGGTGATCGTGCCCCTGTACTCGGCACTGGTGAGGCTGCACCTCGAGTACTGTGTTCAGTTTTGGGCCCCTCACTACAAGAAGGACGTTGAGTTGCTGGAGCGTGTCCAGAGAAGGGCATCGAGGCTGGTGGGGGGTCTGGAGAACAAGTCTTCTGAGGAGCGGCTGAGGGAACTGGGGCTGTTTAGTCTGGAGAAGAAGAGGCTGAGGGGGGACCTTATTGCTCTCTACAACTACCTGAGAGGAGGTTGTAGTGAGGTGGGTGTTGGTCTCTTCTCCCAGCTAACTAGTGATAAGACAAGAGGAAAAGGCCTCAGGTTGTACCAGAGGAGGTTTAGATTGGATACTAGAAAACATTTCTGTATTGAAAAAGCGGTCAAGCAGTTGGAACAGGCTGCGCAGGGCAGTGGTGGTGTCACCATCCCTGGAATTGTTCAAAAAATGTGTAGATGTGGCACTTCGGGACATGGTTTAATAGGCATGGTGGTATTGGGTTGACAGTTGAACTTGAGGATCTTAGAGGTCTTTTCCAACCTTAATGATTCTGTGACTGTTTTTAAGCTTCTCTCTGTCACAGTTTTGATAGAATCGTCACAGAGTCCTACCTGTTGTCTTTCAAGACCAGGCTGTCATAGACTAACACTGAGCAAACACATTCAGAAGTCATCAGGAGCTCTTGTTCAAATACAGAACTTGCAGTCACTTTTCCCAGTCCTTTGAGTCATCTCAGCAAATCTGAGTTGTTTGTTTTTTTTTAACCTGGCATCCTATGGAGGCAGCAAATGTTCAGTCATATAGATGAGCATGAGTGTGACTGGGGTTTTTTTCTTGCTGCTTTTCCATTCTGCGTCCCCTCCCCTAGTATCTTCTAGACCTAACAGCTATTTGCCCTCCTACCTCTATTTAGAGAATTAGAGAACCACATTTTTCTGGAGACCGCTATGCTCCCCTGTCAAATTCTTGGCTTTCAACAAATATTGTCATCAGTTTGGAAGATCAAGTGAAACATTCGTGAAGAACGGTGGATCTGACTCCGGCACAGTCAGCCTGCGGTCTCTGGGGGTTCATTTCTTCCCTTCCTAAATCTTTGCAAGGAAGCAACAGAAGTGAAATTGTGCTTCTTCAATCACCTACCTCCACAGAAAAAAATCAAATAAAGAGGAAGAACAATGAAGTACTGAAGTCGAAGCCAAAGCAAATAGTTCGGAAACAGACCATGAGCTGAAAGAAGTTCCCGTTCAGCTGTAGAAATCCAAATCATTAAAATGACTCTAAAAATGTTCTACTCACTGATAACATTGCAGAGTAAGACTCTGTTCCGAAGCGGCAATAAATGAATAGCAGTGCATTATATATTACAGTAATGTATGTATATAATACTACTGTACAGTCTCTTACTACACAGTGAAGGTTTGCTTTGTCTTTGTCAAAGATTTCTAGTGTTTTTCTCTTTCTTTTCTTTTCTTTTCTTTTCTTTTCTTTTCTTTTCTTTTCTTTTCTTTTCTTTTCTTTTCTTTTCTTTTCTTTTCTTTTCTTTTCTTTTCTTTTCTTTTCTTTTCTTTTCTTTTCTTTTCTTTTCTTTTCTCTCTCTCCTCGCCTCACCTCACCTTGCCTTTTTTTAAAAGACTTATAGTACTGAAAGTTCAGAGAAAATAGTTTCTGTAATGTTTTTTTTTCTTTCGAAGGCTTTTGCTTATGATGCTTTTTCTTCAACATAACCTAATGACTGGAAGGGCATAGTGAACATAGCAACTGAACCCTGGGATTGGTGTACACAGGGACGTAAGTCTCTACCTGCTTCCTTAGCTCCTAAAGTGACAATCCTCTAAAATTACTGCTCAACAGCTGTAAAAGCCTGGAGCAGCCTGGTCTCTAGGCTCCTAAATGTCTGCCACAGAAGTCCCCACACAAGTACATTGCTGCAGTGGGTACCCACAGGAATTCCTAGATCTGGCACTCATGAAATATGTAGACCCAGTGGGACCTGGCACGTGTGTACCCTACAGGGCTCAATGCACTAGAATTTCTTAAGATATAGTCAAGAAAGTGCAATAATAAACAAATTTATTGAAATGGATGGAGTTCTCACCTGAAAGGCACAAATTGACATGTCTCTCTCTATTTCCAGAGATGGGAAGGGGATGGGAGGAAGAGGATCTTCAGGTATTTCTGGTGAAGAACCAGCTACTTTGCTGTTGGTGAAGCTTCTTTACAGTCAATACACATCTGAGACAATGACTTTAGGAATGATCTGAGCACTTACCCATATAAGAAAGGATTGGAGTGTATGTTTGATTATCAAAACATGGAGGCTAAGGCTTGGCAGAGGAAGGGTTAAGACACCTGAACACCTCAGCATCCCAAAGCAGTGTTCTTTGATTTGTAGGACATGAACCTCAGGTCTACAAAGTGACCACAAAAATTCATGAAGCATACATGCTTCTTTGCAATGAAACAAGTGATCGGACAAAAAGAAGGAAAAATTAAAATTAACAATCAATAATTTTAACATTAACATTCTCTATATGTGGTTGCAAATGAAAACCTGTGTGACAACACAGCATAATACCACCTGGAAATTCTTTCTAAATGGTTTGAGAAACTTCATTCGCATTTTAGTAGGTGGGGAACCTTCTTGGATCAGTCCTTCTCTTCAGACAAGCGATTGGATCTCTGACTTCTCACAAAGGAGAGCTAACCATTTGCATAACAGAGCTGTTTTAAGCCTCTCATGCCTCACCCTTACGACCACCCCCAATATGTGCTCCCTTCTTCTTGACTTTCATTCTTGGTCCCATGGGCATCTCTGTGCTCAACTTGCTGCGTGCCTCTTTAGGCACCAAGCTAGATTCATTTATTGTATAGAGTATTGTCTGACAGACTGCAGGACTTCATTCCACTAGGTCACACAGTGCTGGAAAATTAAGCACAGTAGCAGTAAGTGTAATGATGCCAGAAGTCCTTCCATCACTGCAGGCCTTGGTGGCTCTCAGGCCAAGACCTGGCCCACAGACCCAAAATTTGTACTTAATACAGCTTTTCCTTGACAAAGCTTTAGAGAAGCAAAATCTCTAGAACTCAGAAAACTTCCAACTTGATATGAGTCAGAAATAATTTCTAAGTTCCATTAAAAATCTGACCTACGTATAATAGGCATGCTATGTGGACACCACTGCTACCTGGTTTGCTACCTGTAATCTGACCGCTTTGGTGATCTGCTGAGTCCCTGGATTGTGTGCTGCATGCAACTGTCTTTGCCAAGCACTTGGCTCTTTAAACATCTCTGAGGTACCACACCCTTTCCCCATGCCACAAAGGGATCAGAAGCTGCTCAAATGAAATTCCTTTATTAATGGAAAGGTTTTAATAGACCACAAATGAAATGGATGAAAGGAATGCTTGTCCTTTATGGTTGCCAGAAAAAGTAAATAGTGTCTACAGACATTATACAGTTTTCTTTTAACCAAAATTAAATATGGTCCATAGCAAAGCAAGCAATCTGTAGAAATGTGTTGTGATGCTGCTATTACAAACTATTTACATTGGCTAAAAATAGGTGTCTCAAAGCCAGCTTTAACCTTAGTTGATTACTGTTATGATTCTGTGTATCTTGCCCTCATCTTCCCTTTTTGCTATTATATATAAATCAAGCATTAACAAGGTTAGAAAAAGTGAGTGATCACAAAGCAGTCACAAAAAAGCTCTGGGTAGCAGAGACAGAGAGAGAGTTCCCTTTCTCACCACCCAGCATCACTACTCTATCACCCTCCTTCAAGATTTAAGGAGTTTATAACCTCCCTGCAGGCTCTTCCCACATCCAACCATTTGTCTCTCCAATCAACTTGTGCCAGGAATCCCCTCAAAGGCAATACCTGGTACGAGAATATACATTTTAAATACACATGTTTTAAAGGAGCATATTTTCTTCTAGCAGTACTATGTGCTGTCTCTGCAAGTTCATGTTCACAGTAAAACCACGTCAAATAAATATTTGAAGGAATCAGCACAGTGCATCCAGTTTCACTTTCCAAACGGAAAGTGGTGTGTCTGCTTTTAGTGGTGGTATAAGGCAAAGATTTAATACAAATCCAATTTTGCTAAGTCAAGATCATGAACAAAGAAATCCTGCCTAATTACAGAATACTTGATTAACATCTCAGCCAAACAAAGGGATAGGTTTGCTATACCCCAAAGCTATTTGCTGAAAAGGACTTCACTGCTGGTTTCATAGCAGACATACAGCACAGAGAGTATATTTTTTTCAGTTTGCAAAAAGGATTAATCAGAATAGTTTGTCCATTCAATCAAACATTGCTCTGCTGTAACAACATCGTTCTCAGTTCCCTCTCTCTTTGATCCTCCTGCCTGTATTTCTCCTCTAGTTTCTGTTTTTCAGAGTCCACACTATAAAACGTGGAATCTGTGCTTCTCCGAATCTTCTCAAACTGACTGAAATCTGCAACATACTTTCCATTTGGCGAGAGAGAAACCACAGGCACAAACTCGTAGCCCCAGTGGATCTCCTCAGGAATGTACGAAGTCCTGCTTTGGCAGACAGCACTGGTGGACTCCACCGTGGCATTCAGGAGCACCACAAGCTCAAAGTCCTTGTCCTTGAGATTTTGAGGTGTGAGATCTCTCAAAGGGCTGCTTTCATCCAAAATATGGTAGAAGGTTAAAGGCAAAATGAGAAATGGACTCTCTGAAGAGGAGTCAACGTCTGAAGAAGCTTCCCAGACAACTGACACTGTATCAGAAGGCTCTTCCTCATATTTGCTACTCTGATCACTAGGCAAAGTTCTCCATTGTGTTTAGTAATGACAGCACAGTGGCTGAATTTAATAGTCTCTGCCCTTTTTTTAGGTCTTGCAATTTTGGCTAGAAAGGTACCTGTGATGAATATTTCAATCAAGGTGGTGATGACCAGTTGGGCCACAAGTAAGAAAATGGCATGAGGACACTCCTCTGTAATGAAACGAAATCCATAGCCAATAGTTGTCTGTGACTCCAGGGAGAAGAGGAATGCCCCAGTCAGAGAGTCTACGTTCTTGACACATGGCTCACGCTTTGGGGTGAACTTGTTTATTTCTAAATCACCATGAAGGAATGCAATGGCATAGTAGATAACTCCAAAGAGGAACCAGGTCATAACAAAAGTAGCAGCAAATAAGGTGAGTTTGTACCTCCACTTCATGTCTATAACTGTAGTCCACAAATCTTGAAGGTAGAGTAGGTAAATGCCATCAACTTTGTCTATCCGCACATTGCTGTGACCACTTTTGGACATCACACGGGGTTTGTGTGCCTTGAGCATGGCAGTGTTGATGCCTCCATTAACCAGCGGGACGCGAGACATATTAATCTTTGTGGTTTCCATTCTCATTCCTTCAGTCCTAAAGAGAGAATAAAAGAAGACTGTTACTTAATTAAATCAAAGAACATAACTGATTCCGAAAAGCATTTAATAATATTGATGGAGAGAAGGCACAAACATAATCTAAACACAGCAGCAGTGAATAAAAGCAGTTGGAATATAAAGTTACCATCATACAATATCTGGCATTAAAAATAATTTGATATTCTTTTTCCCTGGAAAAAAAAAAAGTAATTCTTTGATTCTGGCAACTGCCAAATATGGAGAAGTACGTTTCTTTTATGATAGCCTGCAAAAGAAATTTAACCAAGCTGAAATTTTTATATTAGTACTTTATTTCTGTAAAACACATTAAACTTTTTTTCTTACGTTTCTCTGGAGAAGAGGCTCTTTTTGATTACTGAGCACGTTTTCTTTAATGCCCTGAAGAGAGACATCTGATCAAAATTAAAGTCGCGTTAATGCTTGGTTTAGAACGCCGATCCAGCACACCACCTCTGTCTCTTCCTGCGACGGAGGCAAAATGAGCCACACCAGCTTTCACTGTGAACAATTAACTTCCACAAGAGACTTACTCAGTCGGATCTGGCGCATTGTTACAAACCTACAACTAACCTAGAGGGAAACAAAGCAGACCTGAACATATCAAAGTCGAGTTTTGGAAAGGAATATTTACACCTGAAAACACTTTGAAGCTGTTTGCACTGTATAACACTCCGATTTTAAGCTAAGGAAAAAAAAAAAGGAGGCAGTTCACAAAGTCAGCATTCTAGCCATGGGCCCTGACCTGCATGAACCTAGCAGTCATTGGACCACCCGACTCCTGAAGTTTGTTTACTGTGCATCAGTCCGGATGGAGAGTAAGTGTGCGGACACTCAGGGCTGAACAAAACCCACAGAGTGAAGCAGAATGGTGCCTGTGCCAGTTTGATGAGGCAAGTAACAAGACCCAGCTTGCAGGACCAGACAGTGATTACGTAGCACAAGGACAGTGCGTGTTATAGTCGTTTCCAACAACAAAACTTCCTGCTGACAAAAACAACAAAGAAAAAAAACATCCCAGGCATCCTTTGTGCTTTGGCAGGTCATACAAAAAGCATTGTTTTGTTCCATTGTTTTCCTCAAAAAGAGCCATAAGTGATTCTTTTTCGTGAACCACTAAAAAAAAACTAAAAAGAACGTCTTCCTTATAGCTAGTTAAAAGAATTTTGCAGGAAGTACAAGATATATTTGTGGTACACACATGTGCCACTCCAGGACATCAGCATAATTGCTCACTGAAGTACCTTTCCTGTTATGTCAATTAAGGAGAATTTTTGTTTATGACATGCCCATCACACTGTTGCAGGTTTTCTGGGGAAGGGTAATTAAACTTAACTCCTACTAACACCTGTAGCTCCTTTCAATTTTGATTTAACCACTAACATTTCTCTTTCATAGCCTAGGAGCCATTGCCATATATTTGTATAAGAAAGGAATGCATCAGTGTTCCCAGTAGGAGATTCCTTATGTGACAGTCAAATCAAAACGCAGTGCGCAGCATGTCCGGATAGTAAACAGGAAAAAACCTTCAAGTGATCTGAAAAAGAACAACAGGAGGAAATGGGGGGGTGGGAGGGGTAGGGGTGGGAAGGAGCATACATGCAGTTCTCTTTAGGCAAACTCAAAATCAAGCGCTACTGTCAGTGCATGGTAAATACATGCAACCTCTAATGGGAAACCTTTTAGGAAAATGCATACCGCTTAGTGAAGAGGCTCCATTCCCCACACTGAGCCTTACCCTGCATAAGCCATGGATATAAAACGTGTGCAAAAATCTGTCCCAAAATATGTACACTTCTTCCTCTCAAGCACACTTCCCCTTAGCCATTACTTCCAGGCACAAACACTACGTTGTCAGATCAAATTTCCCTGCAAAAAATTGCTAGGCCAGGAGACAGCTGGCCTCTCCAATCCAGCGCCAGGGACACGTCCCCATCCCATCCCCCTGCTTAGCCTACCTGGACGCCTGCTCCTGGGAGCATCTCCCCAGGGTTGCCGGCTCCTCCTCCTCTGGAGGCCATGAGGATGGAGACAACCAAGGCTCCACCTTCCCTCCTCCGTGCTCTAGCTGGTGGGCTTGAGCTGGTGGGGCAGGGACAGGGCTCCAGGGCTTGACGAAGAGCAGACTTACCTGGTCAGGGTCAGGGATGGCCCAAAGCGAGGGGCACATGGGCACTCAGCACTGCCCACTTGACATGGCTCTACCATGCCCAAGAAACACTGGCTTCTGCACAAGTGGTTGGCATAAGTGTAATAAATGTGGCATGTCTGGGATGCACTGGGCATGCTCTGCCCCACATGCACTTTGGCTCTGATATTTCCTTCATATGCCAGATTTGGTTCGCATACACCACACTGTTCATCTGCAACACCAGCCGGGTCCACAGCTTCACCCACAAGGGCCTGGTAATAATTCTTGCCCCGGCCTCTGCTCTGCCCTGAAATACACGGTTCCCTGTCTGGGAGCCCTGAACAGAGAAAATCCTGACACTGTAGCCTGCCATATTTCCAGACCTGGTGGAGGACACCTAACATCACAGACATACTGAAATGCCATAGCAGAGGAGTTTCCCCCAGAAGACGGGAGGTAGAAAGGTAATTGCAAGGCACAATGTCTTCCCTGGGCTATGCCAACAGAGGCACAGCAGCAAAATTTATCATTTCAGGCTTAACCTGAGAAGTAAAGCTTTGCTGCAGCCCTAGGCAGTGTCTGGCACGCTTCAGACTGTTTCAACGCACAGCCAGAGTAATTTCTCGCTCTGCCTCTCTACTACTCTCTCCCATGTGTAAAGCTGATCTCCACATGCGAGGTCAGCATGGCAGACCTGTTCATTTTGGAGTCCACCACAGTCGACAGAGGCTGTAACAGAGCTCCCCTATCATCTTTTGTGTCCTCCCTTGATTTGTATTTCTGTATGTGACAAAGTCACTCAGCTTTAGTGATTTCCTGAAACAAATCCCAGCCAATTTCTGGTACTTTTTTTGGTGGTAGGGTATTTTTTGTGTTGATTTGCTTCCTATCTTTCTCTCTTACATCACTTTTTCCTGTGTGATCCTGAATTCCTGTAGTGCTCTTTTCCTCTCCAGGGAAATTCATCTTGGTTTCCTTTCCCTGCAGAAATACTTCCCTGTTTCTCTGCCACGCTGACACAGGAAGAGAGAATCTGTCATGCCGCCTCAGAGCAGCGCTGCCTCTTCTCTCCTCCCTTATCACTGGCAGCAGCCAGCACCAGTCATCTGTGGGAAGAAACTCTGATGAAATCGATACTGGAACAAAACTGGGCTTCAGAAGAGGGTTGTCCCCTGCCCTCCGGTTCCACCCCTCCTCCCCTCCCCACTTCCTGAGTGAAGTGACCAGCATGATATCCCACAATAAAAGATTCATGGGTGTCCATATGTGTAAAACCCATGCTACACCACCTGCATTACTGTTTCCCATCTTATGCCTTATACAGGCACCTCAGATACTCTACGCCCTGACAACCATCCCCAGCACCTCAGCCGAAAGTTTTTCATTTGTTTGGTTGCTACTCCTTTCCCTCTAAATCAGAAAGCATGTCTACCACAGATACTTAATACAAGCAAACAAGCCTGAATAATAATAGTAGTACACATTTTTTAATTAAAAGAACATCTACTGTCCATTAGCAAACTGATTTTACACTGATGAAGTATATTTGATTACAGTAAAAAAACCCTACTCAAACTGTAGCTGCAAATAGAAGTGGATTGAAGTACAGTTAAGGAAACAGATACTTCAAGAGGGAAGAAAATGAAATCATCTCAGACTTGTCCAGCATTCTAATGTCCTATGAATTACCTCCTTTCCTCACCAGCCCTTTGGAACAGCCAAAGGAGACTCCTCATCAGAGCACATGGTGGTAAGGAAGTTTAGCGCAGACAAAGTCAATAAAATGTAGAGCTACATACCAAACCGTCAACCACGAATACCTTGATATTAAAAGGTAATTCCAGCAGCCAGGGATATAACAAGCACATTAACACTGCTTCCAGAGACCACATTATCAAGAAGTCAACGCCAGCTTGCATACATGCAAAAATGTTCCTCTTGCATGAAGCCAGATTTGCTTGTGTAAGATCTCTTTTGGCAGACACAACTGATTGAAAGTGTACAGGAGCGTGACTTGTTTGAATGCCCTCAGCTGTTTGCTTTTTTTTCAGATCAGGTATGCTTTGCCACTTGAGCAAACCCTCATGCGCGCTTCACTGCCACTCTGATACAGGGGCAAAACTTTAACTGTTTTTTTCAACCAGCATAAACCATTAGCAGGCTTGGCATTAAAAAAAAAAAAAAAAGCAGAGATGAGGAAAGAAAACATTGAAAAGAACTACATAATCTTTAGATCTTT